CTTTTGTTTGGAGCTTACAGAGTGACCCAGACTTGGCACAAGTTATTCTTGGAAATGATCTCAATAGACTGCAGGAACTTTTGCGAGAGCGTCATCGCCAAAAATCTGAACTAAAACGGAAACAAGATGAGGAGCTTGTAAGTTACATTTTCTTCCATTGTAGGATGGTTGCTATTTTATATGGCCTACACTGTAATGTGTCTCCATACATACTGATTAATAAAATACATATAGCCATATGGTAATTGATGAAGTTTCAGAGAAATACAGTGATGCTAACTAACTGTAAATAATATTGCGATGTCTGTTTCTGTAAGTATGAGTGTTTATCCTGTTTTACCTCTTCAATGTAGATTTTGGCATGATTTCTAATTCCTGTAACTGATGGAGCTTTTGGTTACCTGAATCTTGTGAGCAGGCTCTTCTTTATGCAGATCCTTTTGATGTTGAAGCCCAGAAGAAGATTGAAGCTGCTATTCGCCAGGTTAGTGGTATTGTGATTATTGTCTTTGTTAAAGGAGTGAGGTTCACAGAAGATAATTCAACTCCATAGTTTCTTTAATAACCTGGAGCTGTAGTTGTTCTTTCCTAAAATATTTGCAGTGGTAACGTACTCTTAAAAATCAATTCGTAATTGCTCACAATATGTATTTTGTTATTTCTTTTTTGCTTTTTTTAGGGTAGTGCTATCCACACACCCTTTTTACTTCCACACACCCCTAAGGGTATTTCTTTTTTAATATTGCTTATTTCCTTTGCAGAAAGGAATTGATGAAAATTGGGCTGCTGCTCTGGAGCATAACCCTGAAGCTTTTGCAAGAGTGGTATGTATGATTATCAGCTTTCTCTACCAGTGTTATAATTTTAAATTGGTATTTTGTTTGATGTTCTATGCTTTTCTAGGTTATGTTGTATGTTGACATGGAAGTGAATGGTGTCCCATTGAAGGTAATTATTCCCTAATAACTTAGGACTGTTACTCTTCTTTCTCTTCAGTTCAATGTGATATAAGATGGCTGGAATATTTTTCTGTCATCTGTATTGCCTTCCTAATTCGACCGCCCTTTATGTTTCCTGAACTCAATAAAGGCTATCCATCTCAATTAATATTATCAGTTCTTGTTCTTTATGGATTGTCTGTACTTTAAGTAACTGCAAAAGTTACATACTTTGTTTATTTCCACTTGTATCCAGGCATTTGTTGACAGTGGAGCGCAGTCAACTATTATATCAAAAAGTTGTGCCGAGCGTTGTGGGTATGAGCTAATTTTAACTATTACACTACTCTTTACTGGTTGTGAAAGTATATATACACAAGCGACTCATTTTAATATTCTATTGATGAATATGCTTGGATCATATACTTTGAGTCTCGTTCCTTTTTGGATTAGCAAGTTTGGTGCTATTATCTGGGCTATCGGTCCACTGTCTATTAGTTGTGTGGTTGTGTGTTTCATGGTGGACATTCTGTGGCCCAAACACAATAAATATGCTTGCATGATTTTAAGATGAATACGGATGTTGATTTGGATAACAATCTCAGTCGGTTGTTTTCACTAGCTACTTTATATCATATCACTTTAGCCACTTAGATAAGATCTTGCGACCAACCCTCAGATAAGTTCATGTGAAAAGGAGACAAATTTTGAATGCTTTATTGCTGTTTTCTTTATTAGAATTTCTGTTGATTTATTTTTTTCCCATATTTTTATGAATACTGATGTTGATTTGGATGCATGAGAGAACCGTAGGAGGTAGTTCAATAACAATCTCAGTTGGTTTTTTTTCACCAACTGCTTTATATCATACAACTTTAGCCACATAAATTTTGCTCTGGCGACCAACCCTTCTGATAAGTTTTTATGAAAAAGAAGGCAATTTTTGAATGCATTACTGCTGCTTTCTTTATAAGAAATTCTTTTGATTCTTTTGATTTCATATTTTTATGAAAAATGTGAGAGTTACAGGAGCAAAAGCCTAATGTTGTGTTGTTTTGGGCATTAAACTCTCTAGATTGTTGAGGCTTTTAGATCAACGTTATAAGGGCATTGCTCATGGAGTTGGTCAATCAGAGATATTGGGTCGAATACATGTAGCTCCAATCAAGGTAGCTGCCTATGCTGAGCAAATCCATATTATTTTATACTCTCTCTGAAATGTTTACTTGAGTGACAGGCTTTTTAACATTGTTTCTATAGATTGGAAGTATATTTTACCCTTGTTCATTCATGGTTCTCGATGCTCCGAATATGGAGTTTCTCTTTGGGTTGGATATGCTCCGTAAGCATCAGGTAGAATCCATGCTCCAAATTCTGTGATAGCTGTCTTTCTCAATGGTTGTAATTAATGAGGAGCTCCATTTGTTATCACTTAGTCTTCTAACATTAAAGATGTCTTCAGTGCATTATAGATTTGAACGAAAATGTTTTGAGAGTTGGCGGTGGAGAAGTTTCTGTACCATTTTTGCAAGGTAGGTCCCATGATATCTATGTATGTATGTATGTATAAATATTCTGGAATATTTATGGTCCTTTGCTAAAGAAAAATCAAAAACTATGTATTTGTTTCAGAAAAAGACATCCCATCTCGTTTTCTCGATGAAGAAAGGTTCTCCAAGGAAGCATCCAGCTCAGGAGCTCCTGTAAGTCTACTCGAGTTTATGCTTTTCCTGAAGTCAAGGATTCTTGCTGTTTGCTGTTTCCGGTTCTAAATGCATAATAATAATAAAATCTAGGACCAAAATTCTGTTGTTATCTGTAAAAACAGTTGGATCATCTTGTATGAGTTTTTGTATTTGCTCCTTTTTATTTTCATATCTTCCCATCCCCTCCTAATTTTCTTGTTAAGTGTAGAATCTATAGATATAACATGGTTTTTTGGATCATATCATTCATTAGGATATGTTGTCGTATAAAAGTTTTCAAATTTAGTAAGGCAGTTGACTTTGGATTTATATTTCTTTCATTTTGCTCATTGTGCTTTAATAATGGTATTCTTCAGGTTACAGCGGGAACAGCAGATACGAGCAAAACTGTACCATCAGGAGGGCAATCTTCGGGTTAGTTTGGAAAATGCTCATTGTCGTTAACGGATGCTTTGGTTATGGTTTGTGTCGGGAATTGCAATTTAGTTTGTTTGCTTTTGTTTGGTTGAATCGGTTAATGAGAATTTTAGAGTTTAATGGGATGCCTTGATAATGATTTGTGTCAGGGAGGTGAAATTTAGTTTGTTTGCTCTTCTCGGTTAAATTGGTTACTTGCAAATTGTGATAGCAGTGCATGTATGAATTTTCCCCACGTATAACTGATGATCGTTCCCTTTTCCCTTTAAACTTGACACAGCGAGTGCTCGTTCAAACCAGACTCAGGTAAATTTTTCTAGCTTTACGCTATTTTTTAATTTATATCGAGAAGTTTAATTATGCTGTAGTGTTTTACATTTGCTTAATCTCCATTCTAAGTTATCAACTAGGGTTTTCGGTCTTTTGGGGGTTCACCATACAGAGAAGTTGGATCGTCGAATAAAATTTCTACATCTGACGAAGTTGTGGTTGCAGGGATCTGAATTTGAAGCTAAGGTTGCAAAGCTTGTCGAGCTAGGGTTCGGGAGAGATGCGGTAATACAAGCTCTTAAATTTTTCGATGGTAACGAAGAACAAGCAGCCGGGTATCTTTTCGGTGGCTGATTTGAAACTTTATACCTTTGCAAAATTCATATTCGTTGCTGGATTAATGCTTAGTTTGGGAACTCAACAACTTGGAAGTTGAAAATATTATGTATTTGTTTCCCTTTGATCTAACCTTATTGATTGAGACCCACGAATGTGGGTTGCAATTTATATAAACAGTCCATCCTTCGATTTGATTTTCTTTGAGTTTTACCAAATCTGCTTTATTTATCCCCTGCGGGATTGACCTTGTTCGGATTGAATTTCGATGGTGGATTAACTACTTGACTGTTGGATCGTTAAAATACTAATAGGATTAAGTACCTAAAATCTTTTAATTTTTTAGTGTCATTTTAAATGTATCTTAATTTTTTTTACACATTTCAAGTAAGTACTCGATTTATTGAAAATGTCGCATCCATTAAAGCACCAGTTAAAAATTTGTCAAATTAATCAGAGTTTCTTTGGCTTCAAGAACAATCAAAGGTCATGAAATTGTAGCCTTCACTAATTAACTGTCACCACCACTCATATTAGACCATCACGTCCAAACTCAACGCAAAAGCACCAAATCCACCCTACAACTGCCACCAACATTGGGAAGACGGTCATGGAGGTTGCTAAAATGGTATGCACTGCCATGATGTGTCCACCATCATGTCTGAATTATTAACCCTCTTATTTGTTAGGAGACAATGTAATTTCAATTTGGGTCTATTTTTCATTCAATTCAATACCCTTTGATCATCCGGTTCCACATTATATAATCTATTTTTGAAATTTAGATTTTGAGGTGACAAATATTAATGTTGACCATGATATACTAAGTTGAGGGGTTTTCTATATAATCTACGTTTGAAAAATTAACTGTGGCTTAATGAATATGACATTTTCAATAGGATGGATACTTGTCTAGAATGTTTAAAAATGTTAAGACGAATTTAGAATGACACTAAAAGATTGAGGGGTTTAGGTACTTGATCCTAAAATATATTGTGATTGTGAGATTTCTAATAAACCAATTCTGGTATGCTATTAAGTTTAATGTAATTGTGTTTTAATTTTGAGGGCATTAAGTCTATTCAATATGTTTTTTTTACTACGATTAATAGTTTTTATAAAAACTAATATTTATAAAATTAGAATTAAATTAAATAGGCTAGCAATATTATGATATGAATTTTCGTTTTTTAGATACGCTCTCATTCTTTTTTGTCCATCACGTAAGGTTAGATTAATGTCATTACGTAAGTGGGTATAAATTTTTTCTTCAAGTACTCGTCTACTTGTATTATAACATTTGACGTCCTGGTTGATGTTCTAGATAGTCTTCCGTATTTAGATATGGCCTCGTAGCATCGGCTTGATCCATAAAAAGCTCCAGAAAAGAGAATTAAGTCATAGGAAATGCCTAGACGACGTTTTTCTTCTTGGGCTGCAGTAAGTAAATTGTATGTATATAAGCATAGAAAGCGTATCGTTTTGATATGGCATTCCGGGAGAGATGAAGAGAAATGACGAGTGAAGAGCAGATAAGCCACGTGTCACTATAATACTCGGCGGCTGGCTGCACCGCCAGCAAACGTTTCTCGACCAGCTCCGTAACTTGGTCGAATCGCCGGACTACGAAAACAAGGATTCCGGCAGAGGAACTTAATCGAGCAGGTTATGTCTCACTACCAGCAGTACTTCGCCGAGAAAGCCAGAACGGCGGAGGAGGATGTGTTTGTCTTGTTTTCGCCGCCCTGGCTCAGCTCATTCGAGAGGAGCTTGCTCTGGTTGGGGGGATTCAAGCCGTCAATGGTGCTGCGGATGGTGGACAGCTCGATTGAGGACTTGACGGCGGAGCAGGCGACGGAGATGGACGCGGTGAAGGGCGAGACGAGGCGGGCGGAGCGGGAGCTCTTGGAGACAATGGCAAGGATTCAGGAGAGCGTGGCGGCGCCGCCGATTCTGCCGCTGGCGAGGAGGGTGGGGAGGCTGATGGACGAGGAGACGCTGAAGACGGCGATGATGGGGGTTATTAAGAGCGCCGATGGGCTTCGCGGGTCGACGGTGAGGAAGGTAGTGAAGTTGTTGAGTCCGGAGCAGGTTGAAGAACGACTTACATATGTTACCGTTTTATTTTTGTTTTTGGGCCTTCATTTGAATGTTTTAGGCTCAACTGGGCCTTTTTCTCTTTTTGGTTTTCTGTTCACTTGAATAATTTACGACTTTATAATGGCACGTTGCGCGCTTGATTAAAAAAATCTCGCCAGGCTCGTGTTTAGAGGTTAGTTAAAATTAAGCTATTGATCTGTTATGCTATCAAATGGTTGAATAATGCAAGTGATTGGATATTTGAAAAATAAAATTTGAACTACTTGTATCATAAAATTTGGTGTATTAAACGGTGTTATTTTTATACCGATAAATTATCTTACACATGAAAAACTGTATTCCAAAATTATAACAAATGACCTAAAAATTATGATAATTAGATCGTTGAAATATACTATAAGCTAAGAAAGTATATTAAAATTGGGACACATTTTTAAGGCCTATTCTATAACATTTAATTATCTAACTTATTAACTTCACCGTTAAAATAAAAATAAATAAATAAAAGTTGTGCCTACTCTAAAAGGCCCAATCCATACCCAAAAAACTACTGCATATGAAATCAAAACCCTAGTTAATTCAACTCTTCCCCTTGCGAGCCCCTCTCTCTGCTCTCTCCTATCGACGAAACCACAAAGGAAGAGAGAGGAAGCTCAAAATCTACTTACATCCCCGGTCCAGGTACGTTCATTTTTATCGTGAAGGTCCATTTTCTTCTGTATCATTTCTTAGTCGCAGTCGAATTAGACTGTTCATGATCTAAGGTCTTGTGGGTATGTTGAAAAATCGGTTTATATCTGTATCTTTGTTTGAATTTGATGAAATCTTTGTCTTTTCTTATTTGGGTCTGTGTCAATTTGGATACTTGTTCTGCTTTTGAGCTCGATAAGAGGTTTTTCAGGCACCCAATGATGAAATTGGGAATATTTAATCGCTTTTGTTATGTAAATTTGGAAGTGGATTAATTGAAGCTGTAGTGAAATTCGTATATTTATATGTTTAATTGATATATGAGGGCGAACCTAGGCACAACGGAAAAGTTGCTCCTTTATGACCGAAAGGTCATAGGGTCGAGTCATGGAAACAGCCTCTTTGCAAAGCAAGAGTAGGGCTGCTTACGATAGACCTTCGCAAAATAGGGAGCCTTATTGGTTTGAAGTAGCCCTTTTATAATTTAATTGATATATAGAGCTTAATTAGAGTAGATGTTTATTGTCATAGATGTTTGTTTTGGTTTGTAGAGGGGGTTCATACGAATATCTGATTTTGTGCAGCTAATTAATCCATTGATCAACTTTTGATTAACCGTTGAAGGGTCGTAGTCGGCGGAGTTAAAAATGCAGTCCAACGGAGCTCCTACAGCCATGGAAGTCGAAGCAGGTTCATCTGCACCAAATTCATTGCCTGGGACTTTACCACCCAAGCCATCGTTTGCGCCTTTGAAGGCTCATGAGATGTCAGATGGACAAGTCCAGTTCCGGAAAGTCTCTGTTCCGCCGCATCGTTATTCTCCCCTCAAGAAAGCATGGATGGACATATACACCCCAATTTATGAGCAGATGAAGATAGACATTCGTATGAATCTCAAGGGTCGCAAAGTTGAGTTGAAGACTAGAGCTGACACACCCGATGTAAGTAATCTACAGAAGTGCGCTGATTTTGTTCAGGCTTTCATGCTGGGTTTTGATGTTATAGACGCCGTTGCCCTTTTGCGGATGGATGAGCTCTATGTAGAGTCTTTTGAGATCAAGGACGTTAAAACACTCCGTGGGGAGCACTTGTCTCGTGCTATAGGAAGGCTTTCCGGTAAGGGTGGTAAAACAAAGTTTGCAATCGAGAATGCTACGAAGACAAGGATTGTGATTGCTGACACCAAGATTCACATACTGGGATCTTTTGCAAATATTAAGGTTGCAAGGGATTCTCTTTGCAGCCTTATCTTAGGGTCCCCTGCCGGAAAAGTGTATTCGAAATTAAGAGCAGTTACTGCTAGATTGGCGGAAAGGTTTTAATTTCGGTTTTGTGTCACCTTAGACGTTTGTCTTGAGTTATGCTAAGCCAATTATAGTTTTGAGTATTTTGAGGATGCTTGTAAGAGGTTTTGTAACATCATATGGACCATCTAGTAAAAAAACTTTTTTTTCTTGGATATCTTGGTGTGAATTGATTTTAAGGAAAACTAATGAAAATGTTTGAAAATTTTAAGTTTTAACGATGAGGACAAAATAAAGGGTAAAGTGAATAGTATCAGGATTAATTTTTTAGTGTAAAAGTATGGTTTTTGGTTAAAGTAAAAAATACTGGTAGCTTTTCGTTAAAATTCCTTTGATTTTATTCTTAATCTTTTTCATTTGATTATCAGACTAACTCATAGGCTAGATTGGTGCCAACTGACATAGCACCTGGTGTGTTTAAGTTGTTAGCGTGCTAGGCACGTGAGTTTTACTCGTGTTGGATTTGTGAGTGGATTTGCAATGGTCATTTGTGATGGATTTGCGAGTGGATTTGCAATGGTCATTTGTGATGGATTTGCAATGGTCATTTGTACTCTCACTGACCATGGTCTCGTTCTCTGAATCGAATCCAAGAGGCATAAATCTGTGATTTTGAGGTAACCAACGAACTGGCTGGGTCTGGTGTTGATCTACAAAGTTCGGTGTTCACCAAAGAAAACTACATACAAATGAAGACGGTTTTCAAGTCTCACAACTTGTGGTAGTTTGTAGATGAAGGATTTGAGATTCCAGATGAATTTGAGGATGAACTCACCGAGAAGGAGAAGATTGGGGTTCAGGATTCCATAGCTCGAGACGTGTTGGGGTTGATTCAAGGTGCAGTTTCAGATGAGATCTTCCCTAAGATTGCGAACCAAGAGACTGCAAAGGAGGCGTGGGGATATTCTGAAGCAAGAATAGAGAGACGATTGACGAGTTAGAGCCTTGAAATTGCTAGGTATTCGTCGAGACTTTGAGTATGCTCGTATGAGAGATGATGAATCATTATTTGTTTATTTGACTAGACTATTTGGATTAATTAACCAAATGAAGATGTATAGTGAAGAGTGAGTAATAAACGAATTGTGGAGAAATTGTTGATTAGTCTCACTAGGATCTATGATAATATTTTGTCTGTGATTGAGAGGACTAAGAAACTTGATAAAACTGATTCTACTGAGGTTGTAGCAACACTTGAGGTCTTCGTACAAAGACTAATTTGTTTGTTTGTTTTTTTCAAAAATGGAGACAATTGGTGGCAAGTCACGGTTATCCACCCCTTCTTGGGGCCGGGAAGACTCACATAGGCATTTTAGCAAAAAGAAAATCTGATAAAAAAGATACTTTCTAGTCTAAGATTACAGTCGAGATAGCTCACAAGCTTGCAATTTTAAAGGGAAGAAATTATGGAAGAAGAAAGATAAGGTTTTAAGAATAGTAAAAACTTGCAGAAGTTGTTGGCATAAATGCTAGAGAGACTAAATTTGTAAATTAAATGTTGGAAACTGAAGGACATGAAAGTAGATGATTGGTTTATTGCTTAAGAGTTGATAAACGTGCTCATCCCTAGCATTACCCCATGTGTAACATGATAACCGAATAAATACTTTACTTCTTTATTCTCCTTATTTTGCACCGATGTTTTTCGATAAATAAATCTTTTCGGAATGACAGAAAAGACGTATAAATACATCTGCCTAACCTAAAATCCACATATCTTGAAGGATTTAAACAATGATGAACAAGAATTGACATACTTCGTCATCTCTAGTAGTGCATGACGACAATAGGACTCCTGACATTGTGCTTCCCATCCGTCCAATTTAACTCTCCAAATACGTAGTCTTGAGGCCCTTGAACCTGAGCCTTCAGAACAACCGTGAACTTCTTCTCTTCGCCATTGCTCTTGAACTGCAAGGTACCAGGCTTAACAGTAACAGAAACTCCCACCGGTTCCTTAACACGAACTACGTACGTGCCTGGAGAACCAACATTCTTAACCCTTCTAGTCACAGTCACTGGCGTGTCACGGAGATTGGGAACTGTTATAGAAGGATAGTTAAAATCAGAAAGACTATATGCCTTGGGACATTTATGTGGCTCTTTAGAAAACACTTTGAGAAGTGTTGCATTGTAGCCACGAGCACATAAGAAGTTCAAGTAATCATCGGTTGTTAGGTCATAAACAAGTCCAGGGTCCATCGCACTGTTTGGTTGAACATGTCCTGCACCATAAGCAAATGGGGTTGCTCTGGCCTTGGATGAGTCCAGCATTGTGCCCTTGTTGTTATCTCGTTTTCTTGCTGCAGAAGGAACGAAATAAAGAAAATTAACAACTGGAACGCGTGTGACAAAATTATGGTGACTTAAACCAGAAGGGAAAAATTGTACCGGTGGTCATGATTGCAGATTTAATAGCTGCAGGGGTCCATGTCGGGTGAAGGGTTTTCAAAAGACCGACAATTCCAGATACATGAGGGCACGACATGGAAGTTCCGGATTCTGTATTGAAAGGTACACGCCGTGTATCGAACTCCCCATCAGTTGGCCCAGTTGCTTGAGTATAAGCAGCAATTATACTCACTCCAGGCGCTGTGATATCAGGCTGATGCGCAAACATTGAACAGGTTACATAAAATATTTGAAGAAGCATTGCACATAAGAATGAACAAGAATTTCAAAGATTACCTTAAGAATTGACTGCTCAACGGGGTTAGGCCCCCTCGAAGAGAATGAAGCCATAAATGGAGCTGGTTTTGTTCCTAGTTCAGTCTTTACACGAGTAATGTAAGCCATAGGAATCCTGATTCATTTTCATTGAATGAGAGGCTAGAAGATTAGTCACGAACTTTTTAGGTCAAAAACACACAAAATGAAAGATCAGAATATGTACTTGGTCGACTTGATGTAGGCAAAGACAGATTCTCCGTCGGAAAAATTAACGTGTGAAGCCGGAAGCAAGTGAGGATCAGCTATGATTTCATTCCCGCTTAGCTTATCATTGACCAAAATCATTCCGACAGCGCCTGCAAGAATAGCTTGTTGACCCTTGTTGGCTCTTGCATTTTCCCCTCGAACGCAAACCAAAATTTTACCCTCCGCCTTCTTTTTATCAAGGGTACTAGGTTTGCAGAGCTGGCTGAAGAAGTTGGAGAAGGTACAGTTAAATAATGTACATTATGCACAAGCATAAAAATTGATGTTACTCACGCTTCAGAAGCAGACGCATTAGTAGCTTTAGCATCGCTTGCACTTATCAATGGGTAGAACTTTTCAGCTGGCAAACCTGTGGAGGAAAGACTTGCTCCCTAGAAACAAGAATATGGTTACTTAAGGGTGTTAAACTGTTGATTAGGACATCAACTACCATTTCATGTTGTAAATCAATGTCATAATCTGTAGCATTACTCGTGATGATGAACAGACTAATAGTGATTAGGGTTATTGTTTATATCACTGTTTATTCGCACACCAAGTACCATATCATGTCATAGATTAATCTTGATAAATAGTCTGTAGCATTACTCGTTACAATAATCTGTAGCATTACTCGTTACAATAAACACACGACTAGCGACTAGGGTGTTAGATTTAAATACCTTGAGATGCTTCTTGTTGCCAAGAGCAACATAATTGGAGAACTCGCGATCTATCGTGCTAGCTCCAACTGTGAGCATCCACGGTGCCACATTCGACACTGACCCAGGAGTAGGGCCTGAATTGCCAGCTGAGCTGACCACAGTAATCCCCTTCTTAACAGCATGGAAGGACCCTATTGCAATCCCATCATTAAAAAACTCTACAGCTTCACCACCAAGAGACACTGAAAGCACATCAACACCGTCACTAATTGCAGCTTCAAAAGCGGCCAAAATGTCTGCATCAAAGCACTCGTTGTCATTGATTGGCGGCCAGCATACTTTGTACGCAGCCACCCGAGCTTTTGGGGATCCACCCTTTGCAGTGCCATTGCCATTACCGAAAACACTTGCTCTAGGAACAAAATTACCACCAGCCGTTGAAAGGGTGTGTGAGCCATGACCGGCATAGTCACGAGCGTTGGGCTGGATGGACTTGGCTGCAGTGGAGTTAACCATGGAAGCATACGCGAGGTATCCTTTGCTGAAGTACCTTGCTCCGATCAGCTTCCTACGTAAGTGTTAATCCGAATTAACATTAGCCGTTATCGCATAGTTAAACAACTGCATTAACCAAATTAAATAACGACGTGACACAAACATTGCTAGCATAGTTGGTGGTATTACGTCTGCATGAGTTGAAAATGTGCAACATAAGCAATGATCCAGTTGACTTATTGCTAAAGTATATATACAATACTGGACAAACAGGTGGGAGACACAACTTTAGGTTACTTTGTACCAAGGACCCCCCGGCCCTTTTTGTCAAACTTTATATTATAGTTCGCCTTTTAGATCATAGATGTAACCCAACAATTCCCAATGTATGCTATTTTACTTTCAGAAGTCGATTACCCAATCACATCCCATAATATACCATCTGATCAAAACAAATGATGGCCGTTCTTAACTAGCAGAAGCTAACATATTGGGCAAGTGTTTAATAAGTGAAATACTAACAACAATCGTTCATTTGCACTCATTAGTTTAAGCAAGTTCCTAATAAGTGAAATATCAAGAAAGGTTCTTGGCGCACACAGATTAATTGGACAGTATATAATGGGACATTGCTAAAGACAATTGCTTGCGTGAATGAGCGATTTCTGGCTATTTATGTAATGGGCACCCACATGCATTAGTGAGCAATAGTTGCCCGGATAAGCAACGAACTTAAGTAAGATTCAATTACACGTATTGGTTTTTTCACCTTACATATCAAGATTCTGAATCAACTGAAGATACAAATTGGGACCGATGTACCATTCAAAAAATGTAACCTACTTTAAAAAATGAAAGTATTTGAGAAAGGAGCAAGAAGTGGAGAAGAGAATGGACCTATTGCAACGAGAACCATTTTTGGTGAGCTGACAGATTCCACGCCATTTAGATGGGATTGGTCCCATCCCTTCATCGCTAAAGCTCTTTGATTCCGGCCAAACACCTGTCGCAAAACCAATAAAGAAAACATAGCACATAACAAGAAAATGTCAAAAACCATGCATGATTTACAAATGAAT